ATGATAAAAAATGCACCTTTAAGGAAACAGACTTGAGACTTGAATTGGAGATAGAGACGTTTGTAGGCATTACATCTTTATCTCTAGCTTACAGCGTTCTGTGCAGACGAAGATAAAACCTTTCTCCTGATCTAGCGCACATCTAACCCTGCATAGCTGTAGGTCAAGAGGCCAAACCTTTACTTCTTCTCAGGCCTAAATTATGACATCAATATTTGATAATTATCTAAAAATCTATTGACTTTCATTAACATTAATGTCAGTCTTTTAACATTTAATTTAAGATCCAAAAATTAAAGTTAAGCATGCTTTACATTTTTAGAATAAATGTAATATTTACAACATAACAAATATGAATAGGCTAAAACTAATCCTTCACTGTGCATGGTTCTAAATCTGGTTTTATTCTCCCTACCCTGACTTTTAAGTTTTAATAATTGTGGTAAACAATTAGAGCAAGTGGAAAGGAAATAGTTTTAATTTCAACATTTGCAACATAAATATTCATTGTGATGTTGCAGCTAATTTAGCAGAGATGTTAAAGGCCAGAAAGTCCATTTTGTTTGGAAAGATCCAAACTCATTAAATACAGTGCCCAGTTGGAAAGAATTTGTTGTAGTCATTATTATGAAACTGCAAATAACATGAACAGGTTGTTATGTCGAGTCATTAAATCCGATCAACAGGTTAATAATCAAACTCATTGTTTTGCAGTAAAACATTCGCAGCAGCTGCAGTTTCTTTCGAAAATACCAGCTTCCTTTTACTCTTCTTAACATGAGAGAAAAACTGGTCCTGAAACTCAAGTCACCAATTATAGTCAACTTTCCCAAAGGAATCAGAACCTGATATTTTACTTAAAAAATACTTCTGAAATTGTCTTTAAATTCATGTTTGATCTTTTTTTTTTTATTAAATAAAGCTTGTGAATCCATTATACCCCTAATAAAAGAGTGTATTATGAGAAGTAGTAGGCTATTGGTGTTAATACAAAAGGGCTAAAATCATAC